ATAACAAAATTTAGGAAATTTTATGCCAAATCAAACGACACCTAGATCTTAAAGATCGGACAACAAACAGCTGAGTTATACATTTTTTAAATAATTAATAATTTCTTTACTGGCTTTTAATTGTTATTGTTTATTCTTTAAAATCATCTGATACAGAGTACATTACGTAACCTTAAACAGATCTCAATAGTTAAGGTAAAAATAGGACACTTAATACATTTACCATCTAGTAAAAAAACTAAATTTTGTTGTTAGGGCAAACCAGCTGTCTTACATTGTTGTAAAAATTTAGAAAGGATCAGATGATTTTAAAGAATAGACAATAACAATTAAAATCCAGTAAAGAAATTATTAATTAATAAAAAAATTCATAACTCAAAATAATCGTGTGATCATAATCTCAAAATCATCTGTCCAACCAGCTGTCTTACATTTTTGTGACAATTTAGAAAGGATCAGATGATTTTTAAGAATAAACAATAACAATTAAAAGCCAGTAAAGAAATTTTTTATTATTTTAAAAATGTATAACTCAGCTGTTTGTTGTCCGATCTTTAAAATCTAGGTGTCATTTGATTTGGCATAAAATTTCCTAAATTTTGTTACTCTTGTGTTTTTTTGCAACTCTAGTGGTTTTCATGTAATTTGAGGTCAAAGATTTTAGATGGCCACCATTTTAAAACGGCTATAGTCAACGAAATGAAATTTTGCTTGTTTGTGTAACACGTCAAAATACACAATTGTGTCAAATTTAAAGTTTGTACCTTGATTCAAACTCGAGTTATAAGGTTATTTATAAAAAACACATACAGACAGACAGACGGAAAACGAGGCTCCGGCGACCTATGTTTATAATGTAAAATATTCATGTATTAGCCCAAGGAATAATCCTGTGAATTTTTTCGAGAGAGTTCACAAACACTCTGTATTTACGCTTATACTGTTACTCACAAGACGGTAAATATACAAAAAAGGTGGTAAGTGGTGATCGATTTCGATTGGAAACTCCAATCATCATCAGTCCCAATAGGAGGATCAACTAGACTATTTCGATAACATAGTTTTAAAGGTAGTAAATTAAGAAGAAACTCATAGTAAGAATCACAATTAATTGCACATAACCAGATGGAAATTAAATTTACCTTAACAATCATTAACACATTTCTTTCAGATGATTCACAATCTACGATAGAGTATGTTTATTGACGCCTAAAAATACCATATTCGATGTGAAAACTATAAACTTCACAACACAATGTTAATACTTATAACCAGAATTATACATTTATTAATTTATTCATCGCGGGTTATAAAGATTACGAATCGTTGACATATTATACAATTAGCTTATACTTCATATTTTTTTAAGTTTTATTCATATTCTTTAATTTTACCAGTAAAATACAATGTATCGGTATTTTAAAACCATCGCCAGTCATTAACGGCGTCAATGATTTTTTCCCGAGATGAAATCGTTTAAAAACTGTAAACAGTTTACTTGATAGTCTATAACGCATTCGTCACCGTTGCAAAATACTTCAATTAATTTATCTGAATTTGTTATTAATAAATAACAGTTTACGCACAGTGACAGTTTGCTCAAGTCACCGAGACGTTTCTATCAACATTACCAAGCTAAACGACTTCAAGTAATCTATCTGGGTTTGTCGATAAAAATAACAGATTATGCTCAGTAACAGTTTGTACAAGGCACTGTGACGTTTCCGTCACCGTTGCAAACGATCCTCAAGTCATTATCCGGGTTTGTCGCTAACAAGTAGCCGTAAAGTAGAGCAAGTATTAACATAAATGTTTCTGTGAATAGGTGAGGTAACTGGTCATTTGCTAGGAGTGGTTATCGTGCTTAACACATTTTACAAATTTAAATAATTGTTTAATTGATAATAATAATAATAAGCCTAATAATGAGACTATTGAGCTTAAATTTGATGTTTTTTTCGTATTTATAGGCTTCACTTACTTGATCTTGTTATTTGTGTATTGCTAACTACTTTATGGCACCTTAGACTTCGGTAAGGGAGTAGCAATTTCAATAGACGTGTCTTCAGAACTTTACCGGAATCTTATTGCTTTGTCACTTTCCATTAAAAGCATTAAATTAAATTCAATTAAAAGCACATTTATTTTAAGTGTTAATCGACAAACAGTGATTTTAGCAATGGCAAACGTTCCCATATTAAATTTGGTTTTAATGTCAAACTGAATCAACCTATTTTCCAGTTAGTCTCTTTATCCACTCCATTATATTGACAGCTAATGCATATGCCACTATAATAAGGTGATGGTCAACAACAATGACTTTAGCTCAACAATGAATCATGAAAGCAATCGACTTTTTGTGGTTTGCACTTTCATTGACCACTTTCCCTGGTTATGGCCGTTGCTGGTCATTGTTTATTTTGACGCTTCATTCAATAATTTTCTACCTTCTTGGATATTGATCGCTCTTAACCCTTTCTTCAGATTACTTTCGTTCACAGACACTAAAAATAAAGGAAACACATATTGTACTTGTTTAATTTTGTTGGTTATCGTAAATTTTATTCGTGTTTACATTGTATTGAGGGTTGGCATAGCCGTCTTTAGTATACTAGATATAATATACTAGAGATAAAATACTACAGACGGCTATGGGTTTGGTCGTTCACGTAAAGTGTTCAATGTAGGTTAGCTCTGTTACTTTACTATACACTTTAGAGAATTTCCCATATAGGAAATAAGCTATTACCGTAGGTCTCATGTTTATTAATATTTGATTTCACTCGGTGTTCGTAATGCTGTTTTACACTAAAGGCGATTTACGTAAACAAGATAGTAGGCCAATTAATTAATATATCTTGACAAATATGTTTTGCAGAAAAAATTTCCTTTTTAGCGAATTTCCCATATAGGGAATAAGCTATTACCGTAGTACTCATGGTAAGACCTGGACGCGGGACCGATTTTTTTTTTCGTTTTGAGGTCCCTAGAGGCCAAAAACACCATCCGTTCAAATTCATATATATATATATATATATATATATATATATATATATATATATATATAGATTTATATATTTATATATATATTTATATATATACATATATATATATATATATATGTCCGTTAGCACGATAACTCGAGCAAAAATGATCCGATTTTGATGAAATTTGGTACAAACGTGTAAACCTACGTTTATTCGAACGAGTTCGCGATCCAGCATGATCGGACCATGGGAACGGGGGTTTACAGGGGGTTTTATCGGGTAAAAATAGGTTTTTCGCATTTTTGACCCAAAAAACATAAAATTTAGCAATTTCTTTCCAAACCATTTTGTAGAGCTTAAAAAAACAAATAATTTAGTATATTGAAGTGTTATTATGCGCCTAATGGTTACGGAGAAAATTCCAAAAAATTGTAAATTTAAAATTCCCATGTTATTCTTATGGAGAATAAGTAAACTGTTGTAGTTCGCTTGTTTATGAACATATTTTGATCAAATTTGGAAAATATTTTTATTTCTTACTAACTATTAACATTTTACATTAAAAAAACCCTTTTACCCTCCCTGTTGCAGCAAACCTAAGTATGTGTTAAACTGATTCTATTTAAATAGGGAATAAATGTGATATTTTTAAGAAGACATTTTAGTGTAAATCCAATCAGGCAAATGGAAATTCGCTTAGTCTGCAGGTTTGCTGCGGCGGGGGTATTATGATTTATTACAGTAATGTTAAATACATGTCCAATATTTCAGTAGGCTACCTAAATTAGTAATACCCAGTCGATGAGTTTTAACATTGACTGTACAGTCAATGGTTTTATTTCTTATCCTAAGCATTTACTTTCTGTATTCCAGATTTTGATAATCTACATTCCCTTTAAACACACACTAAACTTTGTTGTCACTGCTTCAATAATTGCGGATTTCTCGTTAAATATACATTCAATGGAAAATTAAGTACATTAAGCTATATTTACTATGGGTGTCACTTACATATCAACTATAATTTGATCAACGATCACATAAGACCAATTTGATACAGTCAAAAGAAAAGAAAATCATTGAACAGCCTTGCTCAAAACCTTGAGGTTTGACCTTGGAAATACTCTGCAATCCGGAATCCTTTTCCTTATAACTTCGATCCAACAACTTTTTATACATTACATTACATTATGCAATGTTTTTTGAAACGAAAGTAATGCATTTTAATCCAGTAGTAAATAAATTGTGAATATAATTTACCATTAAATTTTGCGATGTATTATATTTTTTAATAAGATTGCAAGGTATTTTTATTCCTAGATTAATTTGAGCTACGAAAGTTTTAAGTGGTTTTATAATAATTGTTATAATGATAAATTAAATTTGAATCCAAGCATGTATACTATATGTTACGTATATTATTTTTGTAAATTTTGGTAAATAATTCGTACACTAAGCTAAAATGTCTCGAGAGTTTTAATTTTTACTTTTGATAAATCGAATATCAATTGTTGAGATTGAGTAAATCGAATTAGAGAATCATCGAATTTTGTTATTAGCTTGTTATAATAAATAAATATACTCTAAAAGAAATAGATGTAAAGATTTTGTTGCGTATTAAAAAAACTAAAATAGAAATATTCTGTAAATAACAAATATTACAGAACCTAATCAATACTTTGTAGTTATGTTTAAATTCCTACGTATTTCAATCCTCTATTATATTAGTGTTAAAATTGCATAATTTACAATATTTTACATTTAAACATGTTACGGTATACGATTAAGCAATACTTTAGGCCTATTCATGACTTTAAAACCTATGATGCTTATTTAACCTAATATTTAACATATTATTGGTGATATATAATTTTGGCAATTAAAATTACTTTAATTTTAATTGGTAGAGTAGTTTTTCATCCAAGGTTTAAAAGACATATATTTTAAGAGAATAATAATTTTAAAAGTATCTACTGTATAATAGGGTTTTTATATAAATACAATTCACCGTACCTTTTTGGGACCAGCATTCTTCTCTGGCGGAAGATGTTATCCATTTGCGGATGTCCTTTTAATTTCTCAGAGAACACTTTTTCGAAAATCCACCTCATCTGTCACAGGTTGGGCGGTTTGAACATGCGATCGAAAGTTCGAAATCACGAGATTTCACAGCGCAAAATTCACACCACTCAACTACTTCACCTGTTGCCGAAGCAACAATGGGTTTGAGGTTAGAGAGAGGTGATATAAACAGCTGATCCCCCCCTCCACTTCACCGGTGTCTAGAGCGTCTGTGCACAACTTGATCGTACTGCCTCGTCGGAAGAGAATGTAACAACACTTAAATACTTTAATCTGAAATGCCATACAAATGTAGGCATTTTAAGCCAAGTATGAATGAAGATGAGTGTAGGATGAGTGGCGCGATCTTGTGGTCTTGTTAGTGACTAACAATGTAGTTCTTCAGATGTAAATTAAATTAGTGTAACCCTAGAGTTTTTCTTAATTTTGTAGAAGTTACATAAGTAATTGGCAAGTCGGCAAGTGTTTTGCTTAGCTTAGCTACTGTATGTGTTTTGTGTGCTAAGTTATACAAGAAGTAAAACAGCTGATACCGATGGAATATGGAATAAACATACTACAATATTTGACAACAATGGGATTTAAAAACTTAAGGGGAAACTTTAAAACTCCGCCATTTTGGATAGAATCAACTTTTTGAGGTCGGGTTTGTGGCTTTGTTCTTTTACTAACTAAACTAAGAGCTATAATTTGACGTCCATTACGGTCCATATCAACTAATGCTTACATTTAACATTATCCACTTACTCCTCGGGGGCTGTCCCCTTTATAAAATAAAAGAACGACAACTCCTTTAAAAAAAATATATTATTTATATGAGTATCATAGGTATACAAATTTAAGCTGTTATAAATATCTATATAATTAATACGCTACACGAAAGTTTGTCGGTTGAACTCCTCCGCCATTTCTTAACCGATTTTATCCATTGACGTCTCATTGGAAAGAGCGTGTCACGTAGATTTGCAAACTGACCTTACATTTTTGAAAAAGTCCCTTGGGCTCTGCCCCAGTGGCTTTGAAAGTTCCCATGTTATCCTTATGAAGAACATAATTGTTTACATTTTGATCAGCTGTATAATTTTATTGCTGTTATTTACTTTTCAATTCAATGAAACACGAGTACATTTATTTAATATTTGAGTTTGTGTAAACATAACCCCCAAGACGGATCGTGGTTGTATTTTAAATTTGTGTATTTATCGTTGTTTTGTGTTGCTATGATGGATTGTGTTAGCATGATTGTAACTTAAATTTGTGCATTTATCGTTGTTTTGTGTAGCTATAATTTGTTTATTATTTGTTGTTTATTTCTTTTAAATGTCTCCGACGCAACGACAACGAAACATAGACAGGAGGCGCAATCGTGATAACGACACAGTCTGAACCTGAACCTGGACAACTTCAACTATTTGGTTACAAATACACTACCCCAAAACGACTTTTCGTTCTCAATTGGCCCTCTATTAATGACCTGTGTTGCCTGTACAGCGAGGCATTTTGAGAAGGAGAGAACCGTCCGGAATGCTTTAGGTTTATCAATAACGAAGATAAACAGGGTCTGAGTTACACAACGGTAATATTTGAGTTGACTCTTTTAAACTCATTGTAAATATGTCTGTTATTCAATCTGAAATAACTCCTGTAATACTTTGTAATTGCTCGAATTCGAGCAACATGTGCACTAGTAATAAATATTATATAACCATTACGGTACTATTGCGACAATTATAATTTATAGCAAATGCCCAAGTTGAACCGTTGACTTTGGGTACTTAAAGCTTCAAGTAAACTTCTTATCTTATTGTATAATCTGACCTGAAGCATGTAACCAGCAAATTGTAATAGTGTTCGCATTCCTCTTTGGTCGCATAACTACATGTAAGTGGACAGACAACAATTTACAAATATAACGTTATTTTATCATAATAGTTAAAAAAAAAATTATTCAAACAGAACAGAAAAATAGCCTTATGCTACAAGTTACAACAGTATGTTAACTTGTCATTTTAAAACTGGTCGTACCATCACTTTGTGACTGGAGGCGTTAACCACTGATGGTTTAATTGTTGCACCGAGCTCTAGGCAGAGTTGCATTCAATGGGAGTAGCCTCTTCATTGATTATAATTGTTTTCACTGATTAATGAATGATACAGCTTTGTGCCATTGTTCTTAGTGATGAAAGAGTTACACTTTCAAAATCTTTCTACGATCACGAAGTTGGTACACGATTTGTGAACGTTCGCTTTGTATTTATGAAAGTAGGAGCGTGAAGTCAAGTTATTGTCGATTTGTGTTTGGTTCTTGAATACAATCATAGATTAAACTGATGAATTTGAATAGTGGAAATAGTCTTCTCGTCATATTGTATTGTAACATCCGAATCTTGTTTTCAAAGCCGTATGAATCGGCCGATGACAAGTTTTAGGTATATAAAAACACAGACAAGGATAAAACATATTTGAGTTAGTTAACTGAACTGACTGCTTTTTACAACGACATATTTGTAAACTACGGCTTTCGTTGTAATATCACAACCAAATTGTAAAACACACGTTGAAAAATTACCTTACGAAATTACGATACGATAAACGACGCACAATCGATAACAAAAACATAAAATTTCTTTCAGCGCAATTAATCACAAAATCAAACAATCAAACAATTTTCAAGCCTACCTCGTTTCTTAATTCAATAATAAGACTGAACTATTTTTGAAAAAAATAATTAGTTTTTTTCAAAGAAAATATAGTGATGGATTTAATTTTGCGATGAATACAGCAATTTACCAGTAATTCAGTGCAATACATATAAGAATTGGGTACCCAGCCTAACGAAACATATATTCTTTTTTTCTAAGAACTCTAATTTAGTTTAGACCCAGTACGACAAACAAAACGAGAAAAAACTTCAGCCTCCTGCGCAACCGAAAATGAACATACCAAGACTTCAGATTTTACAATAAGATGGTAGGTCTCAACGTCTGAAGTACTTGCAAATCTAATATGGTTTCTATCGGATTTGAAGGAAGTTTAGAGGTACAATAGCCTTATAGCGTATCACGGCAATTTTTAAATCAAAATACGAATATCTGCAAAATAAATATAGGCTTCCAATTGCATTGTACAACCTAACCAAAGAATCCCTCCTGCTGTGCCTGCAACGTACTCCGTACTGCACCACAGTGCAAGAACCTGCCTTGACCGTGACACCTTCATGGCGACCGTGACAGTCAATCTCGCGCCAATATCGCCTTGTTTCCCGCCATAATGTCCCCCGTCTGCACGCTTTCACCCTTCACCATCCTCCGCCTCTGCAATCTAGTTTACTCTACGGGTTATCTTAAACATACCGCAATGCCCTACTTAAGTACTGCGATCTACGATTTTCTGCCTGTTTACTTGTCAGGGAAATCGCAATTTTGCACGTATAGTTTCTTCACAAAACATAACGAAACTGCATACTGTTTATGCCATTACTATAGGTTGGCCGCTTAGAAAGCGACCTCCTCCAGCATTGGTTTAGCATTAGCGCGCAGGTCGTTTTCTAAGCGGCCGAACTATAGAGGCCATCCAGTGGTCGAAAACTCAACCAAAAATATGTAATGTACTTCTCTATTTTCACCCCACACTGTAAATAAAACATGTAATTGGAGTAATTTCTTTCTTTCATTTGTTTTGATTTTCTGTTTATATTTCGTCACCAGCACGGCAACACATAAGGCTCGTGTTATTCTTTTAAATTTAAATACATGTTTTGTGCTTATTTTTGAGCATATTTTAATTTATAAAGAGGTTCTGCACATCTACAGGAAAATTTCTTCCTAACAATATGCGTAGATTTTTCCTGCGATGCACACGAGCTGATAAAAAAGGTTTTAAAGAAACATGCATGTCTATTAATATATAGATACTTAAAATTACTTTATATTCTAGTCCAACACTTTATATGTATGATTGTATTACTTTTTACTGAAAACTAAACACCAACTCTCACACATGAGTATGAATGAAGCTTAGAAGAGAACGTAGAATGATAAATTGTTTATGCAGCTTTATAACTACGACCACCACTGTATATAAGTTGATAGGCATATTCATTAAAAGCCTAGGAACAAAGAACAACAGTCCCAGATTCAATTTGGGTATATTATTTTTAATATTGGATCTTGGATCTGGATATTGCTTCTTGAGTTTTGAGTCTTGAGTACATCGGTACATCGGTACATCCTAAAACTCTCAATGTTGAATCTTATATCTTAGATCTCTGGTCTTGCATTCTACACATTACATCTTGCTCCTTCAATCTTGAGTCTTGAATTGTATAATGTAATCCTCAAAATTTAACTCTGGGTGGTAAATCTTTAAAGTTGAGTTTTAGATCTTGGGTCTTGCAGATTAAATCCTGAACACAACTCCAGGTGACAGAATCAGGAAAGTACTACTCGAAGTCATACATCTCCAAACTAATTAACTAGATGACCACCTAGTCTAGCTCGCCAGCTCACTCGCAGAAATCCCTCATTTCACCTTCTCGCCGCCTTTCCCCACAAGACTGATGAGGCAGGAAGCGGTGCTGATAGAACTGGAACTGACCGGAAGTACAACAATGGCAATCATCTGATTGTGAGGGGTCAGCTGATAATTAGACCATCGGTTCGCCCAGACCACTCTCACATATTCAATTAACCTTGCAATCGAAGTGCTTTCTTTCCTGGGGTCCATTTAACAAGGTCAATGAAGTCTCATGTACCTAGCAATTACGATTTAATACATTGTTGTGCATTTATTTGGGATATTGTGGGAGAGATTTGTTCAACACAATTTTAATTTGCTGGCTTTTTTGATTGGTTATACTTTGTAACCTACTCGTTGTTTATTCTGAAGTGTACGTTTGTTTGATGTTGAATGAATTTGGCACTGTGTAATACCACAAACAATATAATACTGACGTTTTAGCAATTATACCACACGATCGTTGATTAAACGTTCTACTTCAAATAATTTGTCATCCTAAACGGATCAGCTGAAGGAGATTTTAATGTTTATTTCCTACCGTTAATCGTATGTGGGTTGATGTGTTCTATCTAACCTCCTCAGAGGCTACGATTCTAT